AGAGCATGAAAATGAATAGGAATATGGCTAGATCATGGATGAACCTAAACACCAGATATTAGGCATGTTTTCAATGTGAAAAAGTTGTATTTACATAAGTAAATGGGTAACTAATTGTGTTCAAATTGTAACTTATTGTGTTTACATACAAATCCCACAATTTTAGGCACAATTTCAGTAAGACAAGATTGAAGGCAATTCTATTAATTTGACAATCCTAAAATAGCAGTCCTTAAGTGTTTTCATGATTGGAGGGATGTTTTAAGCTTATTTAGTTTTGATCATTACTTTGTACTAAAGAGATTAAAGTTTGTTTATCCTTAAACAATATTTTAGATTATTGTAAAGTTTTTATCTCTTACATGAATTTCCTAAAATGGTAAACTTCTTTAGTTCTGTATCCAAGCATAGTATTCCTAGGGTTGTGATTTTCTATATCTCTTGGAGATTGTTCTTGATTGTGAACTTTGTTCATTGTAATTCAATAAATAGCTCCTATTTTACAACTCATTTCCATTAGTAATCATTCTTTGTGTTTTATAAGTTTACCCATTTCTTTGAGACCCTTTAATATGTTGTATTTTTTTGCAACAAACAACCTTAAACACCTTAACCACCCATTGTTGAAGTCAAGTTCTATACTATAAATACAAGGTATATGAAGCTTAATGGATTTAGAATTTCTTGGAGATAAAGAATAACATATGTTTCAATATGCCATTATAATACCTTTTGCAAACCTTTTTGCTCTAACCATGTTTGTCTAGGATGTGGGCAAGGAATCTTTCAACTAACAATCAAACTAAGTTCATTCCAATCAAATAACATAGAAGGGAGTGAAGGGAAAGAGATAAACATTAATTAAAAGAATTTCCATTCAAATTGATATTCACTACAATTAAACAAGATGTAGAGATTCGAGATTCTAACAAATTAGCAAAAGACTTCACAATGCAACAAGAGTAATAAATGAAAGAATTTGTCTAATCAAAACTAACTAAAACATAAGTTCAATTTAAAATATACATAACCACAGGGAGTATGAAACTTTCATGATGATCTACATGTGAATAGTAGTCCTTTAATCTTTAACTTTACCTTTGTCATGGATGAATTCCTTAGGGTACATTATGAGGAGACAGTTGAAAGAGAGATGACATTATCTTTATAAGGTTTCAAGAACTTAATATATAAGGTGGGTACTTATTTGACAAATTTGTAATTGTGGCATAGAATTTCTATGACATCATTACATGATCATTATAATTGATGATATATAATTTTGAAGGAATGATTTTTCTTTATGCGTAAATTAAAACGTAAAAGTGTAGGATATACATATATATATATATATATAAGAAAAAAAATCATGTAGCAAAATCTATTTAAATTATTGTGCAAAATATCAACAGAGGCATTTACATATTTGATTTACAATTGCAGCATCAATTCATTCTTTGTTATTAATGTCTTCTTTTTTTATTACTAGTAGTGTTGTAGTAGTTGCACTTAGTTCAAAAGTCAAATTATACTGTCCATCCCTGTACTTTGATCAAAATATGAAATTAATCCATCTATCTTAATGTGTTCAAATTTGATTCATATACATCAATTAATTATTAAATTTAATCAAATTGTTAATAGTTAAAATTTTTTTTTTGTTTAAATTGATAACGTGACATTTTTGTTTATGTGACCGTTAACTTTGTTGATATGTCAAATTTTTGTGATGACGTGGCAAAATTTTTTTACCACTTCAATATTTTTTCACATCAACCTTTTACAAATTGTACAACCTATCCCTATACTCAAATAGTGGAATTAGCCTTATTTTAATGTGTTCAAATTGGATCCATATACATTGATTAATTGTCAAATTTAGAGTTTGACCTAAGATAAATAAATAAAACAAAAAAAACTTTTTCGTTGCAAATGATTTAGGTCATAACCGAGTTAATGTATAGGTCAATGCACGAGTTATACGAGACTCACCCTTTTAAAACAATGTCATTTCACCTTTTTATAAAAACTAAAAAAATAATTTTTATTTTTTTATTCGTTTCATCACTCTCTCTCTCTCTCTCTCTTCTTTTTCTTTTTTCTCTTTTTTTTCATTTTACAAGTCCCACCTTAAAATTCAACAAGCCCAAATTCTAATGGTTTTCCAAATTTTTGCGATTGAAAATTTTAATAACCTTCAAAAATTTAATCCTAAAAACTTAAAAAGGCACCAATACTCTCATAAACCAACCATGGGCACAACCATGAGCTGTTGTCTACTGAACACTAACCACATTAAAAACCTTTTTTAGATATATAAAAAAAAAAAAAAAAAAAACCTCATCTTTCCCTTTTTTTGAATCAAGATTCTAAAATCCTTTCAACTATTTAGATCTAATCCCAAAATCAAAAACCTTAACTGACTATTTCATCATGTATCATTGCCTAAAGTAAACCAAAACTTTAAAAATTCTCCATTTCATATCACTAATCTAAAAATTGAGCAAAATAAATTAAAAATTCTAAATCTAAAACCTCTAAAAAAAGAAATTTCTACCAAAAAATTGTTTCCAATTGTTTATGTTGATTGTGTTTGTTTTTATTGTGTGTTTTTTTTATTATTTTTATTGTTGATTGTATATCTAGGTTTGTTGGGTTTGTTGATTTTAGATTTGTTGATTTAGCTTTTATGTTTTTGTAATGTCTTTTGTTTTGTTGTTTTTTATTTTTTTATTTATATTTTTTTGCAAATTTTAAAAATATTTTAAATAGAAATTAAAAAATGAAAGAAACAAATCAAAAGAAATAAATAAATAAAAGAAGGATAAAGGAAAATGACTAATCTAGTGTATATTGGTTGAAACCCAATTTGTCAAATTAAAATCCAATTAACAATTCCAATGTCCAAAAAATTTTATCCAAATGTGGAAAAATGCCATGATCCAATTAATAGTTTATGTTTATTTGTTTTATGTTAGGTCAAATTCTAAATTTAACAATTAATTGATGTATAGGGATCTACTTTGAATATATTAAGGTAGAGAGAGTAATTCCACCATTTAATCAAAATGCAAAGATAGACCATACATTTTGAAAAAAAAAAAAGTTGACTGTGAAAAATGTTAACGTGACATTTTTTGCCACATCATCATAAAAATTGACATGTCAGCTCAGTTAACGTAAGAAAAAATGTCACGTTATAAAAGTCAAATGTCATGCTTTAATTTAAATGGCAAAAGTTTAAACCAGTAGTAATTTGACTAAATTCAACAATTATTTGATATATAAGGATCCATTTTTTTTTTTTGAAATTACAAGTTACAATCATAATCAAGTATTAAATTTATATATAATGATAACAGAATAATCAAACAAACTAACAAGCTAACAAATTTGAATATAACTAGACAAATCCAGCATAAAATTGAATAAAGTCAACACACAGCTATACTTGAACCAAAAAGTAGAGGTATCAAATAGGCTAGGTAGCACATGACACAACATGGTTCAATATAGTAGGCCATGCTTGGCACAATCCATTACTATAATAACGATTCGTACCAAGCATGACTCATATACTTGTGCCACGCTGGGTTAGAGATTTTAAGTCCATTAGGCTAGCATAGTATAGCACATAAGTACTAATATGTCATATTGTGTTGACCCATAAATGTTATAAATGAGTTTAGTCTATTGGTCCTTAGTTTTATTTTATGTTAGTTTTATCATATGATAGATATTCTTTTACCTTTTTGATATTTTATTTTAGCAGTTTATAAAAATTAAATTGTATTAATAAATTTACTTATAAAATATTTAAATTATTGGTAGATAAAATTATGAATTTTTCATTTTATTTACCATTTTCTATAAAAGAAAACTATGAAATGTATATTACTTAAAGATTGATTATGAAAATAACTAAGAATAAGACAAAACACATATGTAAATAAATCATCATATGGGGAAAATGAAAAATAAAATAATAATGTGATATTTATTTTTTTTTAATTTAGAGATGTAATATTAGTATGTTAATTTTCACATATTATTTTGATAGATTCATTTAACCTTTAGTGGTAAATATAGATATTTTGTCTAACCATATGAATTTTGTTCCTCACATATTAATTTTTAAAAGTAGTTAAAAATAAAGAAAAAAAATTCTATAAAAACTGAATAATTTAAGAAACTATTAGTGTCGTGCTTGGCCTGACACACAAAAAAAAATATCATGCCATGTGCTTTACTAAGGCCATACTTTTAGTTTTCGTAAGCCATGCCAGCATAACATAATAAATAATAGTGTTAAGCTGGAACGACTCATTAACACACAGACTAATTTTTTAATAGACCTTGTTGACCCAACATAACCCATTTGACACTTCTATCTAAGAGCTCAATATGCAATTTAAATACTAGGACTAATTCTACTATCATTATGGCAAAAATAAATTTGACCCAAGTATAAACTAGCAATGCGGGCTGGTGCTGCCTGCTGGGAATTTCTATGGGGCCTTTAGTCTTTTAACGAAAGAAACATATATGGCTCTGAGAGTTTACTACCTTAGTCCTTAATCCTTGTGCTCTCATCTTTGGGTTTTTTTTTTTTTTTTTTTTTAATGTAGATTGCAATTAAAATTTTAAACTTTACAAAAATTAATATTATTTTGAAACAATCAAATAAAATATGTACATTCAATTTAACAGGAAAAAAGCACTTAAATCTCATATAAATCTCTTTTAGTTTGGAGGATCTCTTTTTCTCCAAGGCGAAGACCATGAGAGAGTTAGGTTAGTGCTGAGTTTGTGTTGCTGAGAAGCAATTCTATGGAATTGTCAAACTTCTCTGAGCAGAGTAGAGGATAATGAAATGTTTATTTGCCGCACAAAATGAAAAATAATGGAGTGTGATAAGAGGCAAGGAAACATATTGAGATAATCTATATATACATATATATATATATATATATGGTTTGGCCTAAAAAACTCTAGCATAAGTACAAAAAATAAAATAAAAATGACATTAAAATACCAAGAATCAAGTGTAGCAGTCACTGAGCCCTTCCTCAATGACGGCAATGAGGTGTAGTTTGAGGGAAAATTTCTCATGAAATCATTTTCAATACGTTTTGACTGAAAAACAACAAAAACCAATGCATTAGCTTTATTTCTCGTCTCATGCAAATCAGACAAAAAAATTTTAACAAGGAACGTAGCAGTTAAAGTTTTGGATATTTCTTCTACACATTTTACTTAGCTTTCGAGTTTAACCATGAGCACTCGTACACCAAAAGGCAAGAATACAAAGAACAGTGATCCAAGAATTCATTCCTGCACTGTACTTGATGAAGGGCTTCCTCATTCAAAATTTAAGTGATGCGAAAAAATTGACTTCAAAATTCTATTTTTTCTTTTTCTTTTTTTTTTATATTGAACGCCATATCTCAGAAATTTACAACTGAACATCCTTGGCATTTGTCAGAAAAGGCCGTTGGTAGCTCACAAGTGGATTCAATTATTCTTCATGGTATTTTGAAAAGAATCTTCAGCCTTTGAACCAACCTCCACTCCTCAAGGGTGAGATCATCCTAAAGAATAATTAATTAGACAATCTAAGCTAATAAATCCAACTAAAAACTTATAAAAAGTGAGGGTAAAAAACAAAAGAATGCATATAAGTAGTCCACTAACTTACCCTATAATTAGCTTTAAGGACATCAATTGACCTCCTAGAAATGCGACTAACAAGCTCATCATCAAGCTCAAAATGCCTCCCATACATTTTCTGCTGCTCCTCGGGATTGGATCCAACTATCTGCCAAGAAAAAAGACAAACAAACAAACGAAAAGCACTCAGTAAAACATAGCTGAGACAATTGTCATCTTGGCATAATTGTCAATAAGTCTGACTTATCCAATCATCTACATCATCCTATGTACCCATGCTGGTTAAGTTGTGATCAACAATGGCTTACTTTTATGTGTGCCCCATGACATATGACATTATTACCTCTAGCAAATGTGAGAAATTAAAATTATAGCACTTCTCTCATTTTGTATAACCCATTAAGATCATGTTTGATACATAAGATTATTGATAGGACAAGATGATCATTCTATATCATATTTGATTTGTATCTAAAGATAGGAATAGGAATTGCAAGGAAAAGTAATATCCTCTTGACATAAGATTATTCAATCCTCTCCAAATTGAGAGAATTATTTTTAATCTATGAAATTAAATATGCATATCCAATTACACCTTTAAAAATTATATTAATAATTTAAATTGTATGAATTTTGAAGAAGGATAATTTTGATAAATAAGTTAATTATCCTATCCTAATCCTTTGATACATCAAATACAAAATTAGGTGACATTATTTAATATAATCATATTTGTAATATTATTTTATCTTATCTTATCATAATCTTATGTATCAAATATGACCTAAAAGCAAATCATGTTTAACATTATTCTATCTAGAAGAGAAACTTTCATTTTAAAAGGAGAAAAGAACTGAGGGTTTCAACTTGAAAAAAATTCATAACAAGTGTTATTTGCATTACTACCAATGAGAATTGAAATATTTAATACCCCGATACTACTAGGGATCATCTAAGCGGTAGTTTAGTACCAGAATCTTTGTTCAAAGTAAGCACCACAAATGTTTCATTGAAACTATCACAAATGTTCCATTGAAACTATGTTAGCTGCATCTATCAGTCAATTGCATCAACAGTCATTTCAATTATTGATGTTCAACTTGATGGGGAGAAAACACAAGAAACAAATATTAATATTTTTTTTAATTATTTTTGTTAGTGTTGACATTTACTGTTAGGATTAGAGATGTCTAAGTGTTAATAATAAGATGCAGTGTTTCAATATCCACAGAAATAGAGGTTAAAATATCATGAAATTTTACTTCTATTTAAAAGGTTCTTTCAATATATAGCGGTTAGCTTCATTTTCTGCCCAAAAAAGCTAACTCCAATTCCCTCTAAGAAAATTAGTATAATAACAAACAATGTTTTTTCAACAACCCTCCAAACAACATCAGGTAGTGTCAAAGCTGGTTAAAAAAAAAGTGTGTGCTTTACACTTTTGCATCAAAGCCAACTATAAAGATTGAATAGATTAAAAAGAAACCATTATTGGTTTATGAACAACTTAAATAATAATAGGTTTTGAAATACAAACATCAAAAGCATCTTTAATGATAAACAGATTAAAGAGAAACTGTTATTGATTTCTAAACTTAAATATTAATAGGCTGTAGAAAGAAAAAATCAAAAGCATCATGGACATCCAAAAATGACAGAAGGCACTATCAAAGAACAGCTTAGAGAAGAAAGTTCAATAGAGTCAGATCCAACATAATCTATTATATCCGTTGGATTGGCATATAATCACAAGAATGCATTTGAAACATTCTGAAGAAATTAGCCTCACATCAAGACATGTTTGTACTGGTGTGTGCTTCTTAAGTTTTCAATCAACAAGACAGACATACATGTTAATGTGAAATTTCTATAGCATGTGAAATCTAGGAGTTCCAATCATTTAAAAGCTAAGCGAAGGATGAAAAATTGTCTGTACTCCAACTGGTTGAGGCAAGCTCAATTCAAACTCAAGAATTAGCTTTTCCTACAAACCAGGGAGAAATAACTAGGAGAAAAATTTTAGAAAATAAAAATCTCAATTAGATATTAGATATTAAAATTTTATTAGGATTTTATAGCATCAATTTTTTTTTTTTTGGAGATAATACCCAAATAAGCCCTCAAATATTACTCGAAAATGGAAATAAGTCCCTGATCTTTTGTTGCACAAAAGTAAGGCTATAAACTTTTATTTAATTGTAATTAGATCCTACACGGTATTAAATATTCAATTTTTTGTTAAAATTTTTTTACTTGGATGATTTAATTTGTAGAAAATGCTTACTTAAATTTATTTGAATGGGTTAAATAACAAATATGTGAGGTAATGCTATTTTAAAAATTATGCCAGTTGGACATTATTCATCCATTTTTAAGATTTAATGAGTATAATTATAATGCAATAAAAGATTGAGGGCTTGTTTGCATTTTGAAATAAAGTTCAAGGGTTTATTTGGGTATTAAGGCTTTTTTATACTAAGAGATATGAAACCAGAAACAGCATCAATTGTTGATTTTCGACAACATGAAATTGGACACATTTTCACATCCTCATATCCACTCAGTTAACTGAAGATTAGGAAATCAATTCTATTTAAAAAGGTAAATAAAATATTTAGCATATTGTGAAAAGATCAATCATACCTTAATGGCTACCTTCTGGTTTTTCTTGGCAACATTAACTGGTCTATGGTTATTTTCAATTGAAGCTATCCGGCCAATATCAATAAATTCCCTTTGGGGAATACAAATAGGGGTGCCAACCTACACAAGAAAAAAAAGATAGTATCACAAACTGTAATGCATAAACACCATCAATAAAAAAAAAAAACACAAAATAATGATATTGAATTTTATCAACCAAAAGCTCAAATTATATATCTATCTCAAAATTTTGCTTGGTTAGACTTTTGAGCAGTAGTTTGTAGTCAAATTCACAATTCAGTAGGATATTCCTACACTCACCATGCAAGTCTCCTTAACAACTAATAATGGTTTGAGTAACGGAACGTATTACAAACACAATTCTGGGGCCACCTTTTCATGCAATCCCAAGTAGACATCAGATCTACATCCTAAATCAGTTGCTATTTCAGTTACTAGGGCTAACCAACTTTCTTAGTGCAACATCAGATCTGTCAGTTATCTGGGGCCAGCTTTTTCAAGCTATGCCAAGATCACATTTTACATCCTAAAATATGTCAATATTTTGGTTATACTTTCAAACGCATTTTCCTAGGGCTAAACAACATTCTCAGTGCGACATCATATCCATCAGTTATATGCTAGAAACGTTCATGCAAATCTAACAACGGAGTACTTCTTGCCTTAGTAAACAACGTAGCTTAAATGCAGGTTCAAGAGTATAAAGATGGTTCTGGCACCTTTTAAAGTAAATTCTAAACTTCATCTCATAATCAGCACTAGAGGGCCAAACTTTATACAACTTATTTTGGAAAGTATAAACTAATGAACAGAGAAAAGTCATACCCTTGCAATGCCTTCAAGGATATCAACCCCTAAGACAATTGGATCCTTCTTGTTGAAAATGCAGTTAGGTAAAATCTTCAGAACACAAGGGAAGACTGCTTCATCCGCCGCCTCCTTCTTCCTCTCCTCTTTGAGACCATCAATATATGCTTTGAATTGGTCAAATAAGTGATAAATAATATCAGCAAGGAAAATCCTCACACCCAGCTCATCTGCTAGTTCTCGAGCCTCCGGTGTCACCTTGACATCAAAAGCCAATATGGTAGCATACTCGTTTTTCTTCTCAAGCATTACACTGGCCTTCATTACGTCTTTTTTGTGTACAGGGCCTATGCCTATACCACTAACAGGAATATTTACTTCTGGAGTTTTTAGAAATTCCAGCAATGCTTCCAAAGAGCCAAGGGTGGATGCTTGTACATAAACCCCTTCCCCGCTTTTGTCAATCCTACTCATGACTGACTGCATATCTTCCTTGGCTTCCTCTTTGACATCTTCCAAATCATCATCAGGCCCTACGACATAGAGACCAGTGCCAGCAATAGCATGCTCGAGGCCCTACATGATGATAGAACAGGAGATTAACTCACAATGCATTTGTTCAATTACTAAATGTAATAGCAATGTAAAGCAATTGCTAAGCTTCAATCACCTGTGCAGCGATCTTGATACCTTGTGCCGCCTTGATCTCCTTATGCTGCATATACGTTCCCTGCAATTATCCATAAAAGGTCATCATGCTGCGAATTTTTACATAGCCATGGCCATTTTTATGGAGCGGTGGGGGTGGTTCTAAAATACGAAAGGTATTCTGTCAAATCACACAAAGGTTCAATGGGTTGAAAATCATTTTGCATTTCCTCCATTAAAGATGTTTACAAGAAAAATTCATCAAAATACAGTTAGTTCTTTGGTATCTAGAAAGAAACAAGGCCATTTCAAAATCACGATACAGCAGAGAATCAGTATAGAGAGATAACACACATGAGGTTGAAAATTCTCCTTGGCCATTATGACGGATGTATAACCAATATTTACAGGCTAAAGGGTGATCGTATTGCTTTAACTGCATATAACTATTTGTTTAGATAGAACGCCACCTGTCATAATTCATTCTAATAAATCCTACTTCCACCGCTTGCTTCCAACCACCACCCTTATCACCAAAATAGAGACTCTGCTATTACTTTCACAAAGACTTAACCCAGTGTTATTAATGCATGCCTTGGCCATAGTCAATAAGCCACAGCACAACTAAACTAGAGCACCTCACACCCCTTCAGCCAAGACACAATTCATCAAGCGCTCATTTTTGCACCCAAAGACACTTTTTTTCAAGGCAAAAGGCACTTTGACTTTTAGTTTTAATTGGCTATATGTACTAGTCAAAAGAGAACAATATCAACTTGCTGAGAAGAATTTAGAGAAAAACAAATGGGAAGCATCCTCCACAGATAACTTTCTGTTGAAATATGAAAGTAAAGAAAAAACCAAGCTGCAAGTATCGATGACTCTTAGTTAATTATAATATAATGCTTCATATGTTACACATATCAAGCAAAGTAATGAAGAAAACTCTTTAATATCTATTAACAAAATCATGCATTTTATAGCTCATCAAGTATAGCACAAAGAACTTTCTTTGTTTTATCTATAATAGTAACTATTATTTTAGAATCACTGCCTTACTTCACTCAGAAAAAACCCTTTGCGTGTCCTGCACCTTGTCCATGTAAGGATCCTAGCATCTAAAGAATGCCTTAAACCTCTGACAAGACTAACCTATACTTTGTGGTGCAAGAGGAACTTTTATACCTTTCAAAGTCCACAATTCCAACAATAGACCGATAAAGTGCTCAAAAAGATAATTACTGTTTTCTCTCCCCTCTCCATCTCTCCTAAACATTCTGTTCAAAAATTAGGCCTCATTGAGTGAAAAAATAAAAAAGATTCCAGACTTGCTCCAAAGTTTATCCCCAAAAGATTAAAATTTGAATAATATAAAACTTATCACATAACCAGACTAGAAGAAAGCAGTTGCCCATCATCAGCATATTAATGAGTCAAGGTACTAACAAATTACAGTTTCCTATGAACTTTGTCACCTAGTCTTGTGGTAATATTCATGCATATTCAAAGAAAACAAAAGAAACCAGCAAATCATGTGTATAACTTATGTTAACATCACTAATAGCAATACATAGCGATTCCTATATAAGATGGAATTTTTTCACATCTCTAAACATTAATTAGCTGCCAAAACAACCCACATTTGTGCCAGAGAACTTAAAAGGATATAAGAAATGCCCAACCAGAAAAACATACTTTCACTCGGATTTCCTTCATTGGGTGGGGTGTCAATAATGCTCTTATATTGGTGACAATAGGACCCTGAAATAGGAAATTAGTACTAGAGAATTAACATCAAGCAATCTCATAAAATCTTCAGCTAAATGAGAAGCTTAAGTGCTTGCCTGCAAGCCACAAACCACAATTTGATCTCCTTCACGAAGAACACCATTAACCAACACAACATCAATAGTTGTCCCAAGGCCTTCAATAACCTTCACCTCCAATACAGTACACTGGCACGAAATTCAATTTACAAAATGTCTCATATTGCACAATGATGAAATGGTGAATGATTTTAAAATAGAAAGGAAAAAATAAAACAACCTGCACTTCATCACTGAATGTAAGCTTTTCAACCATTGTTTTCTGGGTCCATTGGACCAGTAATAATAACAAATCTGGGATGCCTTCTCCACTGCAACATCAATAACAGCAAAACATTAGGCCAATGACCAAAATACAATTACCAAGTAGATTTGGAACTTGTAGAGCATCCACGACTTACGAGATTGCACTTGTAGGTACAATGCTGAAAGTTTCACCCATTTCCTTATTTTTATAGTACAATTCAGTATTCAATCCTTGCTCCTTGAACTGAGTTATAATCTTATAAAAAAAAAAAAAAAAAACAAAATCAACAAATTTTCACCAAAATCAGATAAAACATAGTATTAAATAACAAGGAGTTGATATGCATTTTACATGTGTAACTCTCCTATTGAATTCAGCTAGAACATCTCTAGATTGTTCCTTAAGTGCCTTCGCAATTGGTGAATTGCGTAAAACTTTCCAGCCATACAGTCTGTCCACCTGCAAAATTTTTTCTATAAGAAAAAGAGCAAGATAATAAAATAAAGTATCAAAGGGAGAGGAAAATGATAGCTAATCAAAAGTTGAGACAAAGATCCAGTATGACCTTATTCAATGCAACAATGAACTCAGTGTTCCTCATTTTCAAAAGATTGAGTGATTCTATTGTCTGTGGCTCTAACCCATGCATAATGTCAACAACCAAAATGGCAATATCACATAGACCTGATCCCCTTGAACGAAGATTTGTAAAGGATTCATGACCAGGGGTATCAATGACCAATAAGCCTGGAACCTTCAATTTGGCATCAGCCTTCAATTCCTTGGTTCTTTCCCGTATGTTCTCAGCAGGAAAATATGTAGCACCAATCTGTTGTGTAATACCACCAGCCTCACCTTCCTGAACATTAGTGCCTCGGATGCAATCTAGCAGCTTTGTTTTACCAGTATCAACATGGCCCATAATGCAGCAAATTGGGGAGCGGAGGTTTTCTTCACTCCGTTTAGGAAGAGAATCTGATCTGGGTGCTCTATTTTGCACAGCAGTATCCTTTTTCTTATTCTTGTCTGGAGCTTTAACCTCAGGATAAGGTTTCTTACTTTCATCATCTTGAGATTTATTTGATTGGGAAGCCATCGCTTTCTTGGCCTCAACCGTTGGCTTGGTTACTGCAGGAGGGAATGTGAAGCCCAATAAAGAAACAAAATAAAAAATTAACGAAACTAACGAAAATCTGGAGGCAACAAAATCCAACAAGCAAAGTCAGTAGTAAGCATCACCTGCGTTGCCTGAAGCTGGTGCAGTGGTCTTTATATCTTTCTGCACCACAGGCTTAGGCTCAGAATCAGCCTCTTCATCATCAAAGGCACCCTTAATATTAAGATTAACATCATCCCAGGTTTTTTCATCCCATTCACCATCATCTTCATCCTCTTCTTCCATTCCATTCTCTTCAGCAACATCTGCAACTACAGATGTCTCTTCTGTGTTATTTAATTCCACTTCATCAACCTTCTCATCATCCGCAGAATCCACCTTGTCCTTGATCTCCTGCTCTTCTTGCTGTTTTTCCTTTGCTTGAACATTTTCCTCGGGCTTAGTAGAAGCAGCACCATTTGCATGATGGTGAGCTGGTTTAGACTTCTTTGTTTGATATATAGGCCGTTTTGTAGGAGCAGCATCTTTGTCTGCACTAGGCAGAGACAAGCCTCCCACATTGGCCAATATCTGATTCCTCATGGCCTCACGGCGACGGGCTTCTTCCTTTTGCTTCCCAGTCAATAGTTTCCCTTCCTGCTTCTTCTTTAAGAGCTTCTCCTTTTCCCTTTCCTTTTTCCTACGCCTAGCCTCCTCCGCTTGTCGCTCCAGCTCTTCTTGCCGACGTCGCTCTTCCTCTTCCTTCCTCAACCTCTCCTCTTCTTCCCTTTTCTTCCTCTCTTCAGCTTCTTTTCTCCTAGCAAGTGCCTCTTGCATCTCCCTGACATGCTTTGGCAGTTTCTTGTCAGCAGCTTTACTCCTAGCATCTTTCTTTTTGGTATCAGAGGTCTCAATTTTTGTTTCCTCTTGACTTTCTTCCTTAACATCTGCTGCAGTGGCAGCGGCAGCAGCAGCAGCAGCAGCCGCTTTTTTCTCTTTTTCCTTTTCCTTCTTCTTTTTCTTCTTCTTTGCTGCAGCAGACTCCACACTTTCTTCTTCACCTTCCTTCTCACCTATGGTATCAGCAGGGATAACTAGTTCACACTGAACCTGAACTTTCTCCTCTTGGGGAGGAGGTGCTGTGGGTTTCACTATTGGAGGCCCCTCACCAAGTTCAGCAAGAATTTTATCCAAATCATCCTCCTCCTGTGCAGTCCTTCCACTCTTATTCTTCTTCTTCTTTTTCTTATTCTTCGAAGTTTCTGCAACCTCTTCACTCTTGTTGTTAGTTTTGGAATCATCAGCTTCAGTATTACTAGTTCCTAAACTTGGTTGTTCAGATTCAACCACGTCTGTTACTTCACTTTGCAGCTCTGTCCCATCACTAAATATTGCAAAATTGCTACTGCTCTTCTTCTTGGATGATTTTTTTTTCTTACCCGAAAATGCAATTGTTGTAGAATCATCATAATCATCAACAGCACCAGTGGGTTCAGATACAGAAGTGTCACCCTCATTTTCCTCATCAAGCAATGCTGCACTAAAGGAATTACCACTCTTCTTAGAAGACTTTGACGGCTTCTTTTTCTTATCTGATAAAGGAAATGAAGGAATATCTTCTTCCTCATCCTCTTTCTCACCCACTTCAAGTGCAGCAACTGCAAACCAACTACTACCCTTCTTTCCCCCCTTGGACTTCTTCTTTTTCCCTGTAAAAGCTTTAGCAAGCACATCATCATCATCATCATCATCAACCTCAAGTTTACTCTCTTCCTCTAAAGAGTCATCAACCACCTCCTCATCTTCATCTTCTCGAGCAATTGCATCAAAAGCTGATCCTCCAAACAATTTACCACTCTTCTTGGAAGACTTGGATGACTTCTTTTTCTTATCCGAGAAAGAAAACGAAGGGGTATCTTCTTCCTCATCTTTCTTCTCATCCTCATTCTCAGCAGCGTCATCATCAAGCTCATCAAGTGCAGCTGCTGCAAACCAACTTCCACCCTTCTTTCCTACCTTGGACTTCTTTTTGTTCCCTCTCGAAGATTTGGCAAGCACATCATCATTAATCTCCTCCTCAACTTTAGTCTCTTCCTCTAGGAAGTCATCAACAACCTCCCCCTCATCATCATTAGCAAGAGCATCAAACGCCGACCTTCTAGACATTGTTATTCCCTTTTCCGACCAGTGGTGCCGGAATTCCCAGTGATTTTTGAACTGGATCGCGTGATACCCAATCGCAATCCAATTAGCAGAAACAAGCAATCCCAATCAAAATACATTTTTAAATTAGAAACATGAATAAAAAGCACAAGAACAGGAATCAAAATTCAAAATTCAAAATAAAAGAGACAAGTCAAATGTAAAGTGAAACTAATCAAATCTAAAAGTACCTTTGTATGAAATCAATAGAAATAGAGATTCGTAGCTTGGTTACAACAGCAGACGATGAGAAAAACAGATAAATATGAAGATTATAGAGATAGATTCGGGTAGGAAGTTTAAGGTAATTGGATTTTAGGATTTGGCCGGCTGTTAAATGGCGGGGTAGAGGCGGTGTTGGTGGCGGTAGTTTTTAGGGTTATAGTTTAGGTTTCCGGATTTAAGATTTCTAAAGAAATTTGCAGGTATTTTTAGGATAAAGATGAGAAAAGGGGGTAGAGGAAATGAATAGAGTTGATTTTTGGGGATTTTGACAGTGGACGATGAGATTTTGGGCCAGGGGTGGCGGCTGCTAGGATAGTTAGAAGAGAGAGGAAATCTTAGATTTAGAGAGAGAGTGAGTGAGGAAGAGAAAATTTAAACCAAAAAAAAAAAAAACCATCGGATCGGTCCGGTTGTCCCGACCCGGTTTGGCCTGCATCCATTTTTGTAGCCCACGAGACCTGATTTTAGCTCAACAATTTGTCTGGTATATTTGGGCTTCTATTTTATCTTTAACCAGATTTTACAGTAATCGAAATAATACAATAAATTACGTTTTTAAGGCCACACTACCAAATCTCTCAACATAAATATATATATATATATATATATTATTATATTACAAAATACATAATTATTAGATAAAATTTGCTAATGTGAATGTTTATATGGATATTTTCACTTTTTGATATGCAAAAAATTTCTTAAAATTTTTCTTTATAATGTCATATAAGATATTTGGTAATTTTAAATTATTTATAAAAATATATATGTTTAAAAATTATTTAATTATCTAAAATTTTTAAAATTTAAATGAAAAACAAATTCATATATATATATATATATATATATAATAAAAATTTATCATATCATCTATAATTAACTCTATTATTTTTTACTGTAAGTGTTATTCTAATCTAATATATATATATATATATATTATATTATAACATATAATGTTATATGATAAAAATTACTTATGTGAATGCCTAGGTGGATAATCTCTTTTAATGACATAAGATAATACTTATATTATTTTTTATCAAATAAATTTTTTAATAAATTATTTAAATTAAATATTTGGGATAATTATTTAAATTGAAAACAAAATCTACTTGAGATTGAAATTTTTTCATAAATTTTGAATTCAAATATATTAAATCATAATTTATATTTTCTTTTTAAATTTAATGACAGTTTCAAATATATATACTTAATAAAATATTATTTTTTGTCAAGTAATTCTATTTAATAAATTATTTTAATTTAATATTTTTAAATAATTATTTAAATTCAAATCAAAATTTATCAAAGATTGAAAATTATTTAATAGATTATTTAAATTTAATATTTTTAGATAAGTTAATGAATTATTGACTAGAAATCATATATTTTTAAAGTAATAAGAACTTACATCTTTATATGAAAATATGAGATATTTGAATGTTGATAAAAAAAGTTAGATAAAATTTGTTTTTGTTTTGAAAACAAATAAAATGTTTTATTTATATTCTAATTCAAATATTTCTATATTATATATTTGGTTAATTTATTTGTTTTTTTTAGTCCATAACTTTTTTTAATTTTGCTTAGATAGATTATAATTAACTTTTTCAATTTTTTTTGTTTTATTCATTTCTTGAATGTTTTTATTCTTTGTTAATTCATGAATATCTTTGCTCTAATTATTGTATATCTTTAATCTTGACAAATTAATATATAAATTTATATTCTTTATTTTCTTTTATTATACTTTTTATTATTGAATTTCTTTGCTTATAATAGATGGTATGAGAAAAATGATGATCATTACCATATCTAACCCACAAAAAATACTATCAATTATGTTAAAAATGATTAAAAATAAAAAAATTATTTCAAATAAAAATGTTTTTAAGCATAACATAAAGAATCATTGTTTCCTTTTTTTTATAAAAAATAACTTTTTTCTGTTGACATATGTAGAAATAATTGTTAGCCCAATATATTTGTTTAATAATTACTTGAATTATGTAAAAAATAAAAACTAATAAAAAGCAAATTGTTATAATCAAATTAATAATTGTGATTTGTTGTTCAATCACACACACACACACACACACACACACACACATATATATACACTCACACCCATATCAATAGTTTTAGTATTTAGCAAATGAATTGAAAAAAAAAAAAATTTTATGAAAAAGAACAAATTTTTATAATTAGTGAAAATTTACAAAAGCTTAGACGTCTTTTAGATGTACAATATCATTTATAATACATTATGTATAAATTGTCATTTAATTCTAACTTAGCATTTATAAATGTATGATTATTTATTAGATCAATAATTAAAAAATAAATTTAAAATTATGAAAATTTTAATAAAAAATCTCGTGCAATGTATGGGTTAAAAAAGCTAGTTTTACTTTCTTTTTTTTTTATAGGAAGTCTTAACTTTAAATTTTTAAGTGTTGGTTTCACATTATCAATATTTCTTTAAGTCAATTTAAATTTAAAATAATTAAATAGATAAAATTATCCAATTAAAATAAAATGTAAATTATAATAAAATTTTGAAATTTTAAAAGTTAATCTTATTTAATTTAGATTTTATTAGTTATGTAGGTATATCTCTTTTTCAAATTTTAAATTCTAAAAATTATATTTTTTTACCTTCATAAATTTTTTTATATTAATTTTTTTTAACATTTAAAATTTTAAATTCACTTATTATATTTTTAAATTCAAAATATATTTATCAATTTAAAAATTATCTATACACTTAATTTTCATACAATAAACCTATAAATGGTATGTATTGAACCATTTATTTTTTCAATTTACAACTTTTTTTTGAAAGGCATACTATTACTTTTATAATTTTATTTTTATAAAAAAAACTAATATTTGTTTCAATTCAATTTTCTTCTAACACTCATTTACTAACTTTATATTAATAAAGTAAGATTATTACTATATTTATGTTAATATTAAAATGACCAAATTAGTGCTCTTTTAATTATGTTTACTAATTAAATTTGTGAAATTTGATCAATTGATATATTTATATATATATATATGAATATATCTTATGTTATTATGTTAAAGAACTACATGAAATGGAGATTTAGTGGTTGTTTTTTAGCAGCATGTTTAAATAAACGCCACAAAGTTCTATGTTTTAATAACGTTAGCCGTTTTTTTTTATAAAACACCACTAAATTCTTATATAGCAGTGTTTGAATTTAAAAATACCACTAAAATATATTTTTGTAGTATTTGTTGGCCTAAACGCCGCTATATACTTTAACTTTTATAAATTTTGTGGCATTTACATAAACGCCATGAAAAACAAATCTACAAACTAAAAAAAAAAACTCATGGAGCATTTGTTTTGAGGGAATCCAAACATTTTCCTTTGGAATCTTACTGTTGGATATTTGATTCCAACGTTTGATTCAGGGTAATCTGATTCCGAAGAAAACTAACAGATTTCCAATAGTATCGAAAGTCCTAGAATAAAAAACTCACATCTCCTTATGATATTCTAGGATTCCGGAGGGGTGAAGTAGTATTTTTAAATTTGACTTGATTAAAAAATTATGAAATAATCGTTACCATTTTGAAAAGAATGTTTGAAAATGAATACAAGTAAGTTGTAGGTTTCTATTGGTAAAAAATTTGGTTTATATATGACATTTGACATGAAAAATACCTTCAATAATCCTTTACAAAAAACTGAATCGGGTTATTAAAGGCGCTTTTGGTAAAAAATGCCTTGAATAATTCCCTTCAATTTTTATTGAAGACGTTTCTGAGTAAAAATGTCTTGAATAATCTCCCAAAAAATTGGAAGAGATTATTGAAAGCATTTTTGGCCAAAAACATCATGAATAATCATTTTCAATTTTTAATTAAAAGGGATTATTCAAGGCGTTTTTGGCCAAAACACCTTGAATAACCCCATTAAAAAATGGGAGGGGATTATTGAAGCATTTTCGATAGAAAAATGCCTTGAATAATCCTAAAAAAATGAAAAAGGATTATTCAATGCATTTTTGGCCAGAAACACCTTGAATAATCTCAAAAAAAAATTTAGAGAGGATTATTGAAGGCATTTCTAGCCATAAATGCCTTGAATAACCCCATTTAATTTTTTGTTAGAAATTATTCAAGGTATTTCTCTGGCAAAAACGCCTTGAATAATACCTAAAAAAATTGAAGGGGATTATTGAAAGCATTTTTAATTAGAAAAATACCTTAAATAATCTCAAAAAAAATTGGAGGATATTATTGAAGATGTTTTTAGCCAAAAATATCTTGAATAATCACACTTTTTCGCTGCTAAACTTTTCTTAAATTTCAAACTTATGAGACCTCCTTTCTACTTTTCTTCCTCTACTCATTTCTTCTATTTCTGCTTATTTTGGGTTGTTTTCTTCTCATTTTCTACCTAAGTTTCAGTAATTTTATAGTCAATTTTCATCTTCTTTCCTTTTGTTTTTACAAATTTTAAGTTAGCTTTCTTGCATTTTAGGTCAAATCCCTAAACTTTCAATCTGATTTGTTGGATCAAGTTCATAAACTTTCTGTCTGATTTGTTATGTTTTTGCCACTGTTCAAGTTCCATTGGTAAGCTTTATTTCAATATTGGCAATTTTTGGTGTTTGATCATTCTTTTTCTTTTTTTGCCAATTTATTTCGTTATTGTAGTTCTGAGTTTGGTTTTGTTTGGTTGGTGAGATAAATTCAAGATAGAACAAAAAGTGAAAGAAATAGAGATTTTCTTTGAAAAACTTGAAATTGAACATTAAATTTAGTTAGAAACACGAATTAAATTTTAGGTTTAGTTTTTTTTTCAACAAAATATTTTTTAAATTACTAAAAATTTGCTACTTGTTAACATGAATTTATTGATTCATTCAAGATATCCTTAGGAAACCATTATGAAATAGTCTATTATGTTCTTTTTTTTTTTTTTAATCTTATCTTGGCATTTGTTTTGTTTGTTTTTTCAAATTATAGTTTGATTAAATGACTTAATCTTACTTGAAAGGATTCATTATGCATGAAAACCATCAACAACAAAAGATAGAGAACCAAAAAAAGACATCTATAGTCATTTGTAAATACTACAAGGTAAAGTATTTGCTATATACTTAATCTTCCTCTGTTACACTGTAGGTTTCTAGATGTATGAATCTTCAATTAAAATTTGTATAAATTTTTTATAGATGTTATCTCTATTTCTTTCTTGCATTGTTTAAAAAACATGATATCAATGCATGACACGTAATGGTTCTTTTTTTTTTTTTACATTGTAATAGGTTATCTCTAATATCATTTTGTTATTATTTTTAATTTAATACTTAGTA